CTGTCTGTTTGGCAGCCAGACTAAGCTTCTTTTCTTTCTTCTTTGTCATGTCAGTGGCAAATTCTGAACGCATCTTTTTCTACAAGACAACTAATAATGATTAAATCTATTTGAGGGCAACATTTGTTTGACATCATAAATTATACTAAAAGTTATTTGTATGTGTGTTCCTCACCTTTATTATTTGAAAGTTATTTGGTCAAAAGTACACTTTATATACGAGTTGTTTGGTCAAAAGTATACCTTACATAGAAGTTGTTAAGTCAAAAATATATTTTCCATATAAGTTATTCGGTCAGATATACATTTTTTTTTCATTTCAAGTATTTGGTTAACATATAAGTAATTTGGTCAAATGTACATTGTACATATAAGTTATTTGGTCAAATTTTTCATTTCAATTATTTGATCAAAAGTACACTTCATATGATTTGGTGTTTTAATTAAAACAGCAAACGTTTGCATCTTTTTTCTTCTCTGAGAGAACTTTCTATCTTCATAAAGGCGTATAATTCAGTTAAGCATCAAATAAGAGTATTCAACTACATGTTACAGTAATCAACACTGCATACACATCCGACACAGTACTTACAGATTTCATAGCTGTACCACGTTCATATTTTTGTATGTGTTCCTGCGGTATTGGTTTATCGCCTGGGTATGGATCTCTCTCCTGTAATAAAAAATTACAGAATTAAATTAAATTTTGTCTAAATAACAAGATTTCTTAATGCCAGAGTAAGTCTATAATTTCAAAGGTAATGAACAGAAAACATTATTTGTAAAATGGTAACATATCATCAACACTGCTATTACCATTTTGTCTACTTGATAAGATTTTTCCATTCCTTGTTTGTTGAGCTTTTGTCTTGAGGTCAGATTTTTAGGTTTCCCTTTCTCTCGATTATCTTTGGCCTTAAACCGTTTCTGTGGATGACTTCTTCTCATCATATCTATATTGAACACTTGCTGACTCTCCTCTTTTCCTTCCTTAGTCTTGTACTTTTCTACCTCATATCCTTGTTTACGAATCTGAAGAGTGAAAAACAAAATCATGATAAACAAGGCATGCTAGCTAACTTGTAAAGTAATGTAAAATTAACATTCATTAACAAGAGCAGCAATATAAGACAGCACATACTGGACACTATAGTCTCTGTACTAGATAGTGAAATAAGAATAGCTTTTGAAAACTTGTAAGTCTGACAAATTCTCTGTAGTTACTAAAAACTTATAGAAACACAGCAATGTAAATTTCAGATTCATAAGGCATGTGATAACTTAAGCTGACAAAATATTTTTTAATTGAATTCATGTGAAATTTCCAATAACATTTAATAAAACCATATCTTAACTTATTCTCCACTACCTTTCATTGGGTAGCTTCGTAGCATAGAGTGATGGACCTAAAAGAATGATCTGATTTCCCCGGGATTGCTGAAATAGTGCTCAAACAAAATCCATAATTGGTAAACAACTAGGGAACAGATAAGAAAGGAACCCTTACTGTAAAAATAATACATATGAAGATCCATTGTAAGAAAAGTAAGTGTTAAAACATTATTTTTTGGCACACATGTCAGCATTTAATTTACACAGTAATAAAAGAAAACAACCTTCCAAATACCTTTGCCTGTTTTTTTATGTTCTTGAACATTAAGTGTCTGTCTTTACGTTTATTATGCTGTCTTTGTTTCTCATCTTTTTCTGACTTTGGCCCATCTTCATGTGTCTCTTTGTCAACATTGGATTTAGAAAAATATCTGGTTGGGGGAGGCCTTTTCTTGACTTTTTTCTGAAAAACAAAATTAATGCATGTTTTTATTAACAAGGACTAAAACACTGACTACATCAGGGCCTAAACCAGAAGTATAAATGTAGGCTCATTCTGTATTTGTAGTATATTAACTATTTAAAATATAGACAGTGATAAACATAGGAATCTAATCCAGGAGATTGCCAATAAATCTGCATAGAAAATTACCCTTTACTCTGAATTAATGCAATGAATGATAAACAGACCATTAATTTTAAAGAAAAGGAAATTAGTTATTCAACTACTAAAATTAGCCACACCATAGTATAGTCAAGGTATGTCATTTTAGTTGTAATTCTTCATTATTTCTTCTTTACAATGTGCGCTTGTTGCGATGAAGGCACAATGGCTGGTAAAAAAAAGATAAAAAAATGAGTGACAGTTTTAAAAATAAATGTATCCAGTTAATTTATAAAAAAATTAACTTATGCAGGGCTTTCTGAAAAGATATTATGCTTGGACAAGGTTTGATATGACCAGAGACACTATTTCAGAAACTGATACCTTTAGGAAAAATGGGAGTTCAGGTGATATTCATGGGTATGAGGCAATCATAGTTGTTACAACTATCTGTGCCCTGATGTTACTAAATAAATCATACAGTAGTTTGCTTTGGATGCTGTAAATATTGTTGTGTACATGTCGAGACTTACAAATTAGACTTGTAAATAACAATTGTATTAATGTGCTATTAATTTAAATCTTGATAAATAAGATTTCATTTAGTCATTCACTTTCTGGTGATTATTACTTTATGCTTATTATTACTATCTTTTTTTCTACAAAACATTTTACAGTTGTGTTGTGTTATAAAGTTCCCTGTCCTAAAGATCGTAACGATTACTGACCTGAAGTTAGCATTGTTTGGACTTTTTATTTACCGTAACAATCAATAATACACAAAAGGCGGCTACAAAGACACGATTTATATATACATTGTCCGAAATTATTATATCCGAAACATCGTCGAAATGTAATTCATCGCGAAAACATATGACAAACAAATTTCTCTTAACACCAATATAAGTAGTGCAACCTGTGCCATGATATATTGATAAAATAAGTGTTTTATAATCATAATTCAAAATATTACCTCTTTTGGTTGACTGCTTTCCATTATTATTTACAATTTTTTGATCACATGTGGTGTCAAAACAGTTTGCAATAACAGCCGTACACTCTGCCGTAACTTATCCGTGCAAAGAAACGAAATGTTCGAAATTTCAATTGATTTTCGAAAAATCAAAATTTTCAGTCAATGTCGGTTAGTGTTAATGCAAGTGATAATCTGGTGTATATTCTCTCATTGTGCAAATTCCTATAATGTCAAACCAAGTGGAAAATATTTTATAATCTAACCCACGAATTTACACTGATGATTGCTGATAGTAGAACAACTTCTGAAAAAAAGTATTTCCATTTGAAATATATAGAATTGTGAAGAAAAGAAAACAGCATAAACATGTATATTTGTAAAGAGCATTTTGGACATCAAGTGTGCCCATATTTCTGCGACATATATTTTCCTGATAATACCTGTTGTCTACTATCAAATCAATTGAATCAACAGTGAAGATCATGTGGTATTAACAGAAAAATATATCATTGATAGACAGTAAGTGTTCATATCCAAATCTTGAAAAGGGGGGATCTCTTAAAAGCAATGACAACAAAATAATTATATAAAATTTGCCAACTCATTTTAATAAAGTCTGATCAAGAGTGATAATGGAAACATTCAACATCCCATACACCCATTAGCATCGGCTTAAATCTTCAACACTTATATGCCATGTTGTCCTTACTAAAATTGTCCACAAAAATTCATTGTTCACAGCCAAGTCGACCACTTTTAATTGAACCTGGAAAGTGCAAACTGTTATATCTAAAATCTGGATCTGCTCTTATACTTAATACATGTAGTTAAACTGGAAATGATTTGCAATGTATTGCTTGTGGCCAGGTCTAGATTACTAGTACAACCGATTAGTTACATGTCCAATGGCATTTTAAGAATGCCAAGAAATTAAAATAAATATGCCATTCTGTGCTCTTATTTCTTCGCCTAATGTGAATCTGCAGTGAGTGGACAACAATAAACATTAGCAAATGTGTTGCGGTCAACCAAATTCTAACAACAAGAAACATGGCAATGCCATGAAACCAGGTTTTCATTTATCACCATTGTAGATAAATATGTTGAAGTTGAAATACAAATACAAGCAACAATGTAACTATGTGCAATGTAAATCATGAATAATGTAGGAGGAATTGCACACAGAAGAAGTGTTCACTATATATTCTGTATATGGGAAAAAACAAAGGGCCATAATTAGATAAAAAATAATCCAATCACAAAACCCCAACACTATGTGCCAGGGCACTTGATGACAAAGCTTTTGTGAAAGTTAGAACAAAATACGTTGAGAAATGTAGCAGTTAAGCATAGAAGAGATTGTTCATAATATATTCTGTATAAGGAAAAAAACAAAGGGCCATAATTAGGTCAAATTATTATCCAATCACAAAACCTTGACAATATGTGCAAGGACACTTCATTACAAAGCTTCTGTGAAAGTTTGGTCAAAATCCGTTGAGAAATGTAGGAGGAGTTGCGCACAGAAGAAATTGTTCACTATATATTCTATATAAGGAAAAATAACAAAGGGCCATAATTAGGTCAAATATTATCCAATCATAAAAACCCGACAATATGCACCGGGGCACTTGATGACAAAGCTTCTGTGAAAGTTTCGTCAAAATCCATTGAGAAATGTAGGAGGAGTTGCGCACAGAAGAAATTGTTCACTATATATTCTATATAAGGAAAAATAACAAAGGGCCATAATTAGGTCAAATATTATCCAATCATAAAAACCCGACAATATGCACCGGGGCACTTGATGACAAAGCTTCTGTGAAAGTTTCGTCAAAATCCATTGAGAAATGTAGGAGGAGTTGCGCACAGAAGAAATTGTTTACGCCCGCCCGCCGACATACCTCAATCTAATAACCAGTTTTTTCCTTCGGAAAACCTGGTTAACAAAACATGTATCTCCCATCAAGCCAAATAACCTGTATTGTGTTCTTTACTGAAGTAGTTACTGAAGTAATCATTGAAATACTGAAAGCAGGAAATAGGAAGATCACACATACATAGCTTATAATGATGATAAACATATGGTAAGTTTGTGTACTTTGTTTTTATTTCATATAATGTACATAATGATGATACTGAATATTTACAAATAGTTCTGTTTGTACTGATTAAAAACTAAACAATTCTTACCAACTGAAAACGGGATCAAATTTATACACAGTTATCCTTAAACAATGAATTCTTACACAATAATTTTGTACAATTCTTTCTTTCAAAGATGGATGAAAATTATGTTTATCTAAATTATACAAGGAATCTTAGCAAGTCTTAGCCATCAGCTAAACTTCATCCGCGCAGTCTGATCAGGATCCATGCTGTTCACTATCAGTTTCTCTACTTGTAATACAGATGGTGAGCGAACAGCATGGATCCTGATCAGACTGCGCGGATGCGCAGGCTGGTCTGGATCCATGCTGGTCGCAAACCCTTTATGTTGGTTTTGTCGTGACGCGGCTCATATGTATGGATTCCTTACAACCAAAATATATACTAATGAACATATAAAAAAGATATTATATTCATTTGACACTTGAATCAAGCATGCATTCATGTGTGATAATAATAAATCATCATATGTAAAAATGCAATACCTATATTGATAATTCAAATGAAATCAATTAACTTATTACAACTATATTTTATTTCCTTCTGTCATTTCATATCAAAACAGAAAATTTAATACATTTTTTACACAGCATTAAAACACCAAGTATGTCAATATTTATTTTTTCTTTCATTTTATATACAGTATAAACTGTCCACATTTACATATACACATGCCCTTATTTTAAAGGAAAATTCTGAGCAAAACAGTATTAATAATGCCAAATTCCTTTCCTATAGTAAAACATTGACATGATTTGTTCAAACTATTTCTTGCATACACAATTGGTGCGATACCTATTTTATGTTCTTTAGTTTTGGATACAAACAAATTACATTTTTCCACATCCATTATTTTTTATGAATACACTTTATTCAGTAAATTGTAGACAATCATGCTTTAAAGTTATCAAAACAGCATGCTTTTCCTGGAAATTTCCAAACAAATTATGAACATCACTTCATGGTCCTAATGTAGAAAAGTTAAAACAGATTTAGTACTTGTTTAATATTTCTTACAAAGATATTTTTACCCTTAACCTGCTGGGACCAAAAGTGATTAACCTTTGCCACCAGGAGAGAGCCAGACCAGCCTGAACATACTTGCAGTCTAACCTGGCTCTATGTTGTTGGTCGCTCAAGTTTTAGTTCTGTGATATCAAAATCTCACATTGTAATATATTAATATACAAATTGTGACATGGAACAACAAACTGTAAAAATGACGCAAAATTAACTGCAGTTTTACAAAAGTTAACAAAAACTTAAACTAGAACTATCACTAAATGTGATTAATACCCCCACAAGACTGCTTCGGAAATGAGGATGTTACTAGTAACAGAATATCTTGTAAAAGAATTGAAATATAAAGTTATGGTTGTGGGCAATTAAAGATGGTTGTGGTTCTTGTATATTGCATTTCCTTTCAATGTGGTTGGCCATTGATGAAGTTTTATTGAATTACTCTGTAATAAGTCCAGAAAGACAAAGAAAAGGAACAAAGGGCAATAACTCTATAAATACTGAAGATGGAGTCATAGTTCTTGTGCACTGCACTTCCTCTTTTTGTGCTTGACCATTGTATGAAGTTGTTTTGAATTTCAACCAGTACATTTTAAGTTATGCTCCAGACAAGGAAAAGTATCAAAGGGCAGTAACTCTGTATTTTGTCAAAATGGAGTTATGGCTCTTATGCACTGCACTTCCTTTTAATGTCCTTGACAACTGTATGAAGTTGAATTCCAAACAGTAGTTTTCAAGTTATGCTCTGGACAAGGAAAAGTAACAAAGGGCAATAACTCTGTAATTTGTCAAGATGGAGTTATGGTTCTTGTGCACTGCACTTCCTCTCAATGTGCTTGACCATTGTATGAAGTTATATTGAATTCCAACCATTAGTCTTCAAGTTATGCTCCAGACAAAAAAAAGCAATGGAAAAGTAACAAAGGGCAGTAACTCTGTAATTAGTCAAGATGGAGTTATGGTTCTTGTGCACTGCACTTCCTCTCAATGTGCTTGACCATTGTATCAAGTTATAATGAATTCCAACAATTAGTCTTCAAGTTATACTCCGGACAAAAGAAAGCAATGGAAAAGTAACAAAGGGCAATAACTCTGTAATTACTTTAGATAGAGTTATGGTTCTTGTGCACTGCACTTCCCCTTATTGTGTTTGACAATTGTATGAAGTTGTTTTGAATTCCAACCAGTAGTGTTCAAGTTATGCCCTAGACAAGGAAAAGTAACAAAGGGCAGTAACTCTGTAATTAGTCAAGATAGAGTTATGGTTCTTGTGCACTGCACTTCCTCTCAATGTGCTTGACCATTGTATGTAGTTATATTGAATTCCAACCATTAGTCTTCAAGTTATGGTCCGGACAAAAGAAAGCAATGGAAAAGTAACAAAGGGCAATAACTCTGTAATTACTTTAGATAGAGTTATGGTTCTTGTGCACTGCACTTCCCCTTATTGTGTTTGACAATTGTATGAAGTTGTTTTGAATTCCAACCAGTAGTTTTCAAGTTATGCCCCGGACAAGGAAAAGTAACAAAGGGCAATAACTCTGTAATTAGTCAAGATAGAGTTATGGTTCTTGTGCACTGCACTTCCTCTCAATGTGCTTGACCATTGTATGTAGTTATATTGAATTCCAACCATTAGTCTTCAAGTTATGGTCCGGACAAGGAAAATGCAACGGACGTCTGGACCGACCGACCGACCGCCCGACCGACCAACCGACCACCGGGTGACTCCTATATACCCCCCAAACTTCGTTTTTGGGGGTATAACAAGCAAAACTATTCAAAGCTGTCTTTCTTGAACAAAATAAATGCCGTGAAATGATAAAGTTTTACATTTTTAAAGAGTTTACTAATTACATGTTTTTAGTAGACGTAAAATATTCCATGTATTAATGTATTTACTATTAATTTTATTCATTTAATAGACTAAAAAAAATATTTCTGAAATATATAGTAAGTAAAAATGTGATCAAAGAATTATACTGGACATAACAAATATATAAGTGAATGCCAAATATGTTCTAAATTTTCAATGAATGCCATTAGATGGTTAAACTTTACCAAAATCATTGTTACAGTACATATATCAGTCATTTAATTACTACCATGATCTTGTAAAACTTGACCAAAAATCATCAATACATTATATCTAGCATACAACAGAGTGCATTACAAACAATATTTGTCTCGGAAGAGAAAACAAACTAGTTGTACAAAATACAAAAACAACATAAAATATGAAAAGAACAACGACAAGAACACAGAGTTACTTTTAAAAAGCAAATTTAAAAAGCTCATGTACAAAAAAACAACATATTAAACTAAATCTATCAGAAATAAATATCATATCAAGTAGGTAAAATCTAAGTCAGTGATATTTCTTTTAATAATGGCAGCATGTAAAAATGTAAGGCTATGTTAAGGCCTCAACAGACGGTAGGATTTCGTTGTACAGCAGTAATTAGAGATAAGATGTACAATTTTCAAAGCAATACAACACTTGCATTCAGACGGTAATTCTACATTGTAAGAATCATCTGAGGTTTCCCCTAAAAAGGATCCCTTTACATTGATCCTTTACATACTTTACTCACTAAATACTCTTTTTAGCCATGAGTAATGATTGAAACACCTCCATTTAAAAAATATATATATATATTTTTTAATGTGAAGCCTGACCGAGACTCAAACCTGGGGCCCTCGGAATACCGTACTGCGGCTCTACTGACTAAGCTATCTGGCCGCCTACAAACTACCTCCCCTTCCCTAATTAGAGAACAATTCAATACCGTGACATAATCATTTTCAGAATAATTTAGGATTCGAACATAACACAACTTTAGGTCTCCTGAAGAGTTTTTCAACATCATTTTTACCCCATCTTACTACTATGTTTAACTTTTAGCCCTAATTGTTCTGGAATTTCATTCATTACACCCATTATCAGGAGATAATTTGGTTATCTGTTACTTGTCATCGTGGGAGGTCTGTAAAAATCTGTATGACAAGATTTTCAAAATAGAAAATGTCCTATCCCTTACATCTAGGCTTAAGGTTTCCGAAATCAAGAAATAGTAGCCTTCACACATTAATATTTGTCTGTACATCTTAGTTTTAATTGGTGTTGTACTTCAAAATCCTACCGTCTGTTGAGGCCTTTAAGCCCCCCAAAAAACCTATATCTAACTAAATGTTGAATTGTGTTTCAAACACAAGTTCCATATCAAATACTAATATGTTATTTTTTTCCTATACAAAATAAATTCAATAACCAATTCAAAAGACAATATTGATAAGTGTTCAATATTTATAATGATGTAGAAAATACAAACTGTCAAAACTATTTTTACCAATTTAATATATTTATGTACATCCCTTCCCTGCATTACCATATCTCGCCTTATAAAGTATCCATTTTATTTAATTATTTTTTTAAATCTAAAATAAAAATCTGTGCTGATATAATAAAATACTAGTTAATAGTATTAGTGCTTGCATTTTGAATGAGAAAAATAATACAATATTTACATATTCAGATAATAACAACTTTGTTTCATTGCCTATAGCCTAAAAGTCAACAGAGCGATTTTCTTTAAACTTAAATTTCATAAAACATGTACACAAACCTTTCACATTGCTTATATTACAAAACGGTGATTACAACTATATGCTTTACGCCATTTATATTGAATTTTACATCATCTTCAAAAGTATTTATATTGCGACCCCTGCTTAAAAACTCGAGCCAATTTCAAAAACCGTTAATAAATATTCAAATCTTTAATTTCTTTAATTGGTTTTCTTGATCTTCATTACATAAAAGATAGCATTCAAAAGTACTTTACCATGCCGTTTGCATTCTACTGAACTATTTACTATCGGTTCTTTATATTTACAAGCTTGACCTTGAAATCCCTTATATTACTAAGGACCATTCTAAATTCAAAACAGGACTAGTCCATTACAATAATTTAGTAGCGGAAGATTGTTTAATACAGAGAAGATTGATAGATATCGTAAAGCATTTAATATACGACTTATTATTTTCATCTTTAAATAAACCACAGAGCCAATCATATGACATATATAAAATTATACATGTTAGGGAGCACTAGCGGCGGAAACAACTTTTCTACGTCAACAGTGTACAGTACATTCATGCAATGACCAGACCCATTACAGCTGACTGCTTGAGTACACTGAAATATGTTCAATGTACAATAATAAGGTTCCAAATTCAACAAACGGGTAAGTTAAACAGTTACATGTTAATCACTGCATGTTTAGTTTGATTTATTCTATTTATTAGTAGAATAGTTTGCAACCAAAACAACTGTGGTACACAATAACATCAAATATAAGTACAACAGGACTAGATTTTCCATACATATAACTTTTAAATTTCTTAAAGCGACACAACGCCAAATTAGTGCTGATTTTTACGAAAAACAAATCTTTTCATATATGTAAAAATGATGTCAAGTGTACTAATAAAGTTACTTAACCTAGCCTAAGCACTTTTAATTTACCTATAATTTGTCAATTTACCCAGAAATCTCTCTTTCTCTCTTAAAACAGGGTAGAATTTTGATGATAAAATTAGAAAATTCTGTACTTTTTTCCATAATAATCAAAATTTCATCTTGAATGCAAATTGAATACATTCTGAAACCGTAAATCATTCTATTTTTGAATTTTTTTTTTTTCAATTTCTCCCCTGAAGGCGTGTCCCTTTAAATTTCATTATTTTGTAAACATTAACTTGCTTAAAGAAACCTACAGAAAAATTAAAATCTCACTCTTAACATAAATACTCAACAATTCTATAGCAAACAATATTTGGACCACTAACCATTTAACAACACTGTCAAAAGGATTTCAGTAAATTTACTAAATGTTAAATATTGATATCTTTAAAGTGTATAAAGCTATATCTACAGGAATATTTTAATAAACTTGATAAATGTTAAAATAATGTTATTTCCATAATCTCACAGTCCATACTGGCAACAGTGTCTCCATTTATTGAGCACACAACTTAATATTGTATATAAACACTATAAAATATTCCAGAACAAATCGTTACTGCTATTTCAAGTAGGGTTTCAACTGTTTAACAACGATTTCATGCCTTTTATAGGACTTACACAAACTTTCTTACTGGTATTTTCGAGTTATTTTTTTCAAAAAATCGAGCAATCTTTTTTGTAAATACAGACAGCAGCTATATAGCTTTATACACTTTAATGTGTAAAAAGAACTAAAAATATTGTTCACAATCTATCGTTTCAAACTAATAACAAAAATTTATATTTTCATTTTTTGCTGATGCAAAAAAAGAAAAAGACAAAATTATACTTTTTTTTCTTATTCAAAAAAAGAAAAAGACAAAATTATACAGAAGTTTTACAAGAGAACACGTATCAAAGGGGTGAAGACACATCTTCTTATAGTTACATTAACCTGTTGAATGGTAGGTACTGTTGTAAATGACACATCCGGGTCACCAGTATTGAGATGGGCCGGCCTTAAAATCCACATGCCGGCCTTAAAATTCATGCAGTCTGGCCAGACTCTATATTGTCTATTACTTCATTTTCGTTTCTTTTTTGCGTGTTTTTTCTTAACTAAAACCCCTAGAGATACCAATGGACTGTGTCCGCGTTACAACTGGACAAGACTTTTATATAAATTTAGCATGGTATAAAGGTTAACAAAATGCCATAGTACGTGTCATACACATATATAAACTTAGTCTTGCATTTCTTCACCATCAATTTCATGCCGTTGCCTATACTCTTCTAATGTTTTCTGTATAGTGTCACTGGAATATCGGCATTTAAGCGAGCCACATGTACATGTAAATTGCTTCCACTTAATTATCCAGAACTTCTCTCCATAGTCAAACCTGAAATTTAGTATGATGTACAGTGTTATGCATTATGATGCACTGCAAAATCTTATGATTTTTGGGGCACTTATTTATGTGATTTTTGTGAATTGACTTATCCACAAAAACCATGAATATCTTAATGAAATAAAATCCAATAAAATTTTAGTTTGTCTGCTGTACCAATATTTCTAATACATTATTTTCAATTTACTTTTTTTTTGCATAAAACTGAAAATCCATTTATTTCCGAACCCACATTTATCTTTTTTGACACAATCATTAAATTGTATGCCCATGATTTAAATGAATTCACAGTATTACTTTGCTTCTACCCTCTGTTTGTTTGTTTGGGTTTTACATCACACTAACACAGTAAGATCATTTAGCAACGTTCCAGCTTTACTGGTGGAGGAAGACCTCAGGTGCCCTTCCGTGCATTATTTCAGGCACGAACTGGCACCTGAGTAGAACCACCAACGTTTTGTAAGCTAGCTGGATAGCTTCCTCACATGAAAGAATCCAAAGTCCCTGTCGGGATTCGAACCAACAGCGGTGAGGGGCAAGTGGTTTGAAGTCAACGACCTTAACCACTCGGCCACGGACGCACTTACTTCTACCCTCTGATTGTACATGTGATAAGATAGATGACAGAGTTTTGCCATGTTTATATTGGCATATCAGTCTGCATATCATTCATAATACGCATGACCCATAATAATCCAAGAAACATATTTAAATCTTACTTTGCTCCCCACCCCCATATCTTTAAAATGACCAAACAACTGTTCTTTTACAAACAATTTACCAACTTATTGACATCAGTTTAGTACCACAAACAGTAATTTCATATTCCTTCTTGAATAACTGATTGATACAATAACTTTCAATTCCAATACCACAGGTTGTGATTGTTATTTTACAGTACTTACCCTAGTTCTTCCTGTGCTTTTATATCCCTGTTTGCAAACAGACAAATCCTTGGGAAACGGAGATCCTGCGAGTCCACAAACACTTTAACAGGGGTCAAGTTGGGTTCACATAGATGATTTATAAATCTAGCCACATTACCAAATCTCCTAGCATCTATACAGTATGTTTCCCCATCCTGAAATATATATGTATATATATTACACAGAGTTCAAAAAAGTCTAGTGTATAAAAAGCCCAGAGTATGAAAATTTGTTAGTTTCTTTTTGTTTTTATGCCTAGTTCAACATTTATTTTGGTCATATCAAAGCTATCAGATGATCTAACTGACTTCCCAGGATAATTGGCCAGTAATTACCAATTTCTATGCAAGTGACTGACTAATACACACATAGTTGTGCCAAATGACCATTAGTTTATACAAATTTATTTTAGCTTGATTGTGTTGGAAGCTATTAGCTAATTGAAACACTCTCAAATCTGTTCCTGCAGCCAACCAATACTAAGCAATGAATGTAAAGTTTCTTGCCCCTGACAGGGTTTAAACCCAAGCAGTCAACAACCCTAAGATTTCTAGTCTGACATGTTAACCTTAAGGCCATGTCTCCACTTGACCATTAAACTTAATGTCCCGCGATCAATTGTCACAAAGAAATTACATCTCATCCAAGGATCAAACCAAAGACCTTGGATAACAAATCTGAAACTCTGGCTATTAAGCCAAATGGGCCATGTTCAATATTTGCTAATTTTTCATAGCCACAGTCAAAACAAAAACTGTCCGACAGCATTTATATGAACTTGCAATAACCTTAAAATATGATTCAAGGTGGGGAAAAATAGAGGCCATCAAACCACACTTTTCAGTTATCTGCCCTTTGAATATTTTTGCTTACTTCCAGGGCTCAACAAATGCAGGCCAGGTCTTTTCTGTTTTTCATGTACCTTACTTCTTTCCGAGTACTTGTGTAAAATTTCAACATGTGGTTAAGAGCAGTTTTTTTCTTTTCTTAAAATACATCTAAACCAATTATCTGAGTATTATTGTGGTGTAATTGGGATCTAGACAAACCTTATTATCCAGGTCAAACAGGTAGGAGTCATCTTCACGTCTATCTGCCTCGGAATCTGATATATGCTCCCCTATATACCTGGCAATAATACACAAGTACATGTAAAACACTATACACTATCAAAATAATTGAAGGGTATGAAGCTATATCTGGCTGTCTCAACAGGTAGAATTTTTTTTATTTTATTTTATTTACTTATTTTTCTTTTCAGGGGGTTTGTCTTGTATACAAATCAAGTAAGGAACTGTCAACTTTGACAAGAAATGACCAGTTAATATACATGTATCAGAACAGACTTACTCGCATATAAATGTTCCTCTGGCTATATCAACCAGTGTCTTACATCCCCATCCTCTCCCTACTGTCTTAAACACTTGTAGACGGGACCTGGAAAAAAACAATAATTAAACGTGATCACTAAAAACTTGGTGGTTTTTTTTTTTGTATGTGACAACAATGCTTCAAATTTTTGTATGACTGAAAACATATGTATCATCACCTCAGTGCAATAACAGGTTAACTCCTATTAAAATTAGAAGGACTTAACCCATTACTGCACTAAGTGAATGTATATTTACCTTAAAACCCTAACAGTAATCAAATACGGCTTCAGAAATGACTTTAAATCAAGGCAATTCAACTTCATCTAAAGAAAATTTCACCTATTGATGATGTAGAGCACAATATATTTTCAAAATTAACATTACAATAGAATTTATAGAATATCTACTAGACCACCAATTAATGAAATACTTTGTAAACCATTTACTGACAGCTGTTAAACGTATAACTATAATGATATAGCCAAACTGTCATTACTGCCGCAATTTGAAGGGCACCAGCTTAGAACTAAGCTAACCTGCACATCTGTGAATTTTGACCAGGCTCTATACTGTTGGTAACTAAACTTTTGTATTTGGATATTGAAATTCCTTATTATTCAAATAGACTGTTCCGCCTGAAGAACAGGCTAAATACATTACACAAATTCAGTAGGTTAAGACTGAAGCAAATTCTATATGGCAAATTAAATGTAATTAATTTAAACTTACATGACCCCATTTTGAACAACCCTATTGTTACATGTGGTCCAACACTCACACGCTCTATTGCACTCAAATATCAATGGTGGTTCAAGCATGTTGAACTCCGGTATAAGTCTGTTATACTGTAAATAAAGATAGCACACAGATATATTTAACTGCACAGTTCTTAGAAATAAGTCTTATAGCTTTTTACTGCAAAGGCAAATATAGGTAAAATGTTACCATTACAAAATGTGCAATATAAATGCATGGTGTGTATAAATTACATGTAAGCAAATACAATGACCATTTTTATATTATTTTTTGAAAGGCTTCTTGTTGGTGGAGAAATGAGGCATGGTAAGGTGACATCAACACACTAAAGGTTCTATGGCAACATTTCTGCTCTTGAACTTCAGGAAGAAAACCCAAGATACCCATTCATATCTTATTTTTCATAGAAACTAGGCATCTGAGTATTATGCTAGCTTGACATCATCTTCATTAAACAAATGCAAATCAAACATCATTATAGAAGGACAAGTTATTTGTAGATAAATAACACTCAGAAAGGCCTAAATTCTGTGTACAAAAACATATATACCAAAATATACACTGATAATATCAAAAGTATATCAAATGTGTCCATAGGATATTCCACAGTCACATAGATGGACAGCAGGACAGAAAAGGGCAAATCTTTACTAAATGGGGACAAAACAAGAGCTGTCAGAAGGACAGCGCGCTCGACTTTTTTAGTGCTTGCCTATAAAACAAAACTTTGACAGTTAAGGGCACACAAGACTTTAACTAGGAATTTCTAAGTACAAATCAAGAAACATTTTCACAGAGTTATCTTCTCTTGCTTACAGATAGGTCTCATGATGGCACATAAGAACTCCAACTTCCAAAGTAATATCTCAAATGGTTAAGTCAACAAGTGGACAAGAATGAAAATCTTAACTGAGTTTCTAAGTTCAAAAAGGGCCATAATTCAAATAAAATCCTTAACAGAATTACCTTCTCCTGCCCATGTTTTGGGACCATGATGGTAAACAAGTATTCCAACTTTCAAATTAATATCTCAAACAGTTCAGTCAAAAAGTGGACTGGTACTAAAAACTTAACCAAGATTCTAAGTCGATAAAAGGCCTTAATTTTTAAAACAAATCCTTGACAGAGTTACCTTCTCTTGCGTACAGATGGGGGTAATGATGTGAAATAGCATTAAAAGTTTCAAAGCAATATCTCAAAGGGTTAAGGCAATAAGTGGATTTTACCCATATTCAATGTATTTTCTAAGTCAAAAAGGGGCATAATTCTGTCAAAAACCTTGACAGAGTTATGTCCTCTTGTCTGTTGATGAAGGTCGTGATGGTAAACAAGTATGGTCAGTTTCAAAGCAATACCTCCAATGGTTTTGAAATAAAGTGAGGTGGTACAAAAAACTTAACAAGCTCAATACACTTTCTAAGTCAAAAAAGGGCCATAATTCTGTCAAAAACCTTGACAGAGTTATGTACTCTTGTCTGTAGATGGAGGTTATGATGGTGAACAAGTATGGTAAGTTTCAAAGCCATACTTGTAATACTTCTGAAATAAAGTGGGGTGGTACGAAAAACTTAACCAAGGTGTGACGCCAACGCCGACGCTAACGCTAACGCCGACGCCGGGGCGAGTAGGATAGCTCCCCTTTTCATAGAAAAGTCGAGCTAAAAACAACAGAAAAAGCATGTAATATCAACAGGACTGATATTGAAAACATAACTAGATAGATAAACATCACTCACCTTATCATACCAACAATCGTTACACTATTCTTGCCACAAGCGCAGTATATAGATGAACAATCATCCTTACACTGGCATGTCTGTAGACTGCCGATTACACGATTTATGTTAAGGCACGTGGTCTCTATATTGTCAACAACGTAGAGATAATCTTTCGGCTCGCCCTCATCATCTACGCCATTCACACAGGGTATTGGAATGTTTTCACGACCCTTTGACAAGTCTCTGTAAAATTAAAACTTATTTTAATGCATATTTTTATAAAATCCGACATGAACAATGTTAATGAGGACTCTAACCACAATTAAACATCCTTTATCTGTTTTTTATTTACTTTTATTTGTTTTTTTATTGTTGACTATGAGAATATGTTCTAAAACTGTAACCAATCAGGATGTAGTTTATTAATTTCATCAATCAAACATATCATTTAAGCCACATGAACACTTTTGCCTAAATATGATGAATGGTTTTTGTCTTCAATGAAAGATGGACAAATCCATATCAGACATTTACTATTTTGAGGGTTAAATATTGTTTCCTTCAATAATTTATTCATGACTTCACATGCATTTTACCTATGAATCAGTTTATCAGGTTTCCCCATATGTTTGGCACCAAAACTTTTCAGCTGTTTGTTTACTTTCAAAGCCAGATAGACGGCTGTTGTCTGCTCTATACAACACTGAAATATCACAAAGATAAATGTCTTTCATATAAATATACAATTGTAAAATTTGAAACTATCCAATCCATACATTAGAAATATTTATATAACAAACTTTTCCACATTTCCATTGGCTTACATTCACTTATAGGATGCAGCTGGGTTTTTTAAACACTACTAAATGGACTAAAAATAATTCATGTTGAACCTTAAGTTAACACTGAATGATCACTCTCAGAGGTAAATTCTGTTTTGTTTTTGTTGCTTTGGTGCAAAGTCACATCAACACAGTATAGGTCATATCATGACGTTCCAGCTTTACTGGTGGAGGAAGACCTCAGGTGCATTATTTCAGGCACTAACGGGCACATGAGTAGAACCACTGACGTTTTGTAAGCTAGCTGGATAGCTTCATCACATGAAAGAATCCAAAGTCCCTGTCGGGATTCGAACCCACAGCGGTGAGGTGCAAGTGGTTTGAAGTGGTTTGAAGTCTACCAAATGGATTTGACTAAAAATAATTCATGTTACACCTTCAATAATGACTGAATGCTATTTCTCAGAGAGAGAATCTGTAATCATTAACATACATTGTACAACAATTAAGTTAAATTCAAAGAGAAACTATATAATAAATCACCTCTAATGGAGTTTCTCCTTTGTTATTTTTAGCTTCCACATCAGCGCCTCTTGCTAGGAATAATCTGTCATAATAAAAACATTCAAAACCTTTTAATACTATTACAATGTGTTTCACTACTTTAACTACCATGAATCTGCCTAAAAAGACTTTCGATGCTTTGAGAAACTATTTACAGATAAACCCTAAACCTGCTAATGGTGACTGAATCTACCCATGAAACCAGTGCAGATAAATATCAGCACATTCTTGTTGACTGATCATGGTCTGTAATGTTTGCTTTTCATTCTTTTCATTATTTAAGTTTTTCCCAAAAAATGATCAATTGTCAATGAATTATATATCATGGTTTAGGTTAAAGAATTTCATCAACAGATAATAAAACTGAGAAATGACCAGTATAGTTTGGTCTACTGCACTAAAATGGCATGTTCTTGCTTCTATACCAGCACCTTAAGAATTATAAAACATTGGTTGTTTTACAAAGGTGTTTTTATAACCAATGTATTGATAATAGCTTAAACATGAGCTTGGCAATTATATGTAACCAAAAGGACAAATCTATGGGAACAATTCTTAATAGCTCTCAATGAAACTATTGAGAAAGAATCAATACTTACACTACACATTCATAATGGTCTTGTCTGGCTGCTATATGCCTGAAATAAATGTGAAAGTTTTAACTTTACACAGAAACTGAGAGAGCAATTCTACTATATAACATTATGATTTTATAAACATATTCAAAATATTTCTCAATCATTTCTTATCTTTAAATATTCATTATATGCAAGATAAGTCCAAACATAACCATTGCCTCTATTCCAAACACCATCAACCATAGCAAAGTAGAAGTGTTGTTAGACATTTCTTAAATTTTATAAATTTGACAGCAATTTAAGGGTGACACTGCCACCTTGTGGTTCATCACAATTGCTCATCTATTTCTTCATTAAAATTGTTTACTTGTTTATTAACATGAGAAAATCTATTACTTATATTTCAAAATACTTCTATAAAATGAATTATGAATCTTTTCCCAATTCTGAAGGTCAGGAGCACCTTAAAAATAACAAGTACATGGGTGCAAGTTGAAAATTTGGAAAAACCTGAAAACTGTAATTTAAAATCATTTTCCTACATGATCTTATTGTAAAACATGATAGAAACCTGAGCTTCAGGCATATGCCTGAAAACTCGCACCCATGCAAGTAAACCTTTGCGGTGTGTTACTTACAGTGGTCTATCACCATGCATGTTTAAACTATCCAGATCACAGCCTGCTGATAGTAGAAGTTCCGCTATTGTCACACTGCCAGAAAATGCTGCCCAATGCATCGTTGTGTTCTCTTCCTACAATTACAAATACAACTCATCACTGTTGTTAACAGTTTCCTAACCTTTTATATTCTGCCTAAAATATAATACTGTTTGTTTTCCCTCCAACAATCTAAAACTCTAAAAATAGAAAAAACTAGAAATGTGTCCATAGGACACGGATGCCCCCACACGCCATTGTTCTGTCAATCTTATGACTCTAGGTCAAATATTTTTTGGACTACATGTGCCACAAGTTGAAAACTAAAAATCAACACAGGGCCATAATTCTGTTAAATTTGGTCGCAGCAAAAATTCCTTCCTTTACTACCATCTACACATTAAGGTTGTTCATCCCTGGAAGTTTAAGCAAAATCTGCCATCCGGTTTAAGAGGAGTTGCGTTCACAAAATTTCTACATAGTATATAATGAAAAAAACAACAAAGGGCCATAATTCTGTTAAATTTGGTTGCAGCGAAAATTCCTTCCTTTACTGCTATCTACACATAAAGGTTGTTCATCCTTGGAAGTTTAAGCAAAATCTGCCATCCGGTTTAAGAGGAGTTTCATTCACAAAAATTTCTATATAGTATATAGTGAAAAAATCAACAAAGGGCCATAATTCTGTAAAATTTGGTCGCAGCGAAAATTCCTTCCTTTACTACCATCTTCACCTTAAGGTTGTTCATCCCTGTAAGTTTAGGCAAAATCTGCCATGCGGTTTAAGAGGAGTTGCGTTCACAAAATTTCTACATAGTATATAGTGAAAAAATCAACAAAGGGCCATAATTCTGTTAAATTTGGTCGCAGCAAAAATTCCTTCCTTTACTACCATCTACACATTAAGGTTGTTAATCCCTGGAAGTTTAAGCAAAATCTGCCATGCGGTTTAAGAGGAGTTGCGTTCACAAAATTTCTACATAGTATATAGTGAAAAAATCAACAAAGGGCCATAATTCTGTTAAATTTGGTCGCAGCAAAAATTCCTTCCTTTACTACCATCTACACATTAAGGTTGTTCATCCCTGTAAGTTTAAGCAAAATCTGCCATGCGGTTTAAGAGGAGTTGCGTTCACAAAATTTCTACATAGTATCTAGTGAAAAAATCAACAAAGGGCCATAATTCTGTTAAATTTTGTCGCAGCGAAAATTCCTTCCTTTACTACCATCTACACATTAAGGTTGTTCATCCCTGTAAGTTTAAGCAAAATCTGCCATCCGGTTTAAGAGGAGTTGCGTTCACAAGATTTCGGGACGTACGGACGGACTGACGGACTGACGGACGGACTGACGGACGGACGGACAAGTGCAACGCTATATGCTCCCACATTGTGGGGGCATAAAAATCCATAAGCATGGAAACAGGGTCCAACTACATAAAAATCTAAAAATTAAAATTGTTGTTTTTTCCCATTAACACTGACTCAGGGTCTGTCAATGAGAATCATATCTTTATATTTGTCTCATGTTTTTGCATTGTAAATATTCATACTTGGGTATATATTCAAAGAAACATATAATTCTGATATAAATAATATTCATATTCAATAACAAAATATTTTGGATTTAAGAAATTTCTTTTAGTCATCTATCCTACTTAAATTGGCATCCACCGCAGAAAGGTGAACAAAAGATATAATTTAAGCCATCCTCCCTGTCAAATATTGACTCTAAAGATTTCATGGATTCAATTAAATGTTATAAATTGAAATAACAAACCAAATATTATAATTTTTATGAAAGAAACGTCTATAATCAAAAGATAGCTTACGCTATCTCTCAAGTTAGGATCTGCCTTCCTCTTCAGTAATAGTTTAACGGCTTCCACCTCCATATGTTCTGCTGCCCAGATCAGAGGCGTCCATCCGCCATCATCTGTTGTATCAATGTTGAGGCGGTCCGTGTTGAGTAACATATTAATTATATTCACATGACCCGCCTTCGCTGCAAAATGTAGTGCTGTCATTCCATCGTCAGCCTGAAGAATTGATTTCACGAAAGAATTACAAGAAAGCAAGAGATAATCTAAGAGATAATCTACATAAATCAAAATATATAAATGAAGCTAACCAGCCTCAGGCTGTACGATGCTAAAGGCTGGCTTCGTACTGGTGGCAAAACCATGCCATTTTGCTTTAAGTGTTAAGGTACTGAGCTCTAAGCCAGTGGGTGGCAACCATTCTAGAGCAAACAAATCTCAGCAGGAACATTCTGATTGAGATTATTTAGCAGGGCGGCGTAAGGGTCAAGTACCTGAATGCTCGGAGCAAAATGACTTATTAATGAATCATATTGCATACATGTATATGCGTTACAAGGACAATTAGAAGATGATCTTGTTTTCAAAGCTATATATGGCTCAAGAAAAATGGACATAAGTGTGATTTGGATCATCCTTTGCCTGGTAGTCGCAACAGATAATGACAATGCAACTCGTGCTGAACAAGATCAGCTGGTACATCTGATTATGCTCTTGCAATGTTAGATATTCAGTCATTAAATATGTTGAAATTTCCCTTAAAAATAATGAATGGTTCTGTCCAGATTGAAATGTCAATGTTTTTTTTCTTTATATAACTGCTACCCTAAAACGGTACTGTTCCCAATAGAAAATAGACATTAAAATTCCCAATTTCCAATGTTTAAATTCCCAAAATGGCTGTTCAAAATTTCCACAAGGCCAAAAGATTTCTGTGAAATCATTTAAATCCAACATATTCATATAAATCATCACTCAATAGTTCTACCTGGACAGTGGAAGCTTTTAGCTATCTTTATTCATGATGTCTATCTTATTTGTAGCTGAAAAAATGCATACAAAAATTCCCAATTTAAGTCAAAATAACGCATTTTTTCCCAATCAGTCTGGTACCGGCACCATTCCCAAAAAAAAAAAATCCTATATGGTTGTTAAGCATTGCTTACCTTAGCATCTATGATAGCATTTGCCTTGATGAGATAGTGTACTACATCGGCATGGTTGTTCTCGGCTGCAAACATTAGTGGTGTCTTCAATGACCTGTCTTGGTGATGAGGTGATGCCCCAGCCTAATAATGATCAATATTACATAATGTTATAGGCATATTAAGCCTCCTAAATGAATTAGTTGACTCTCAATAAGTCAAAATCGCTTTACTCAAAATTCCGCGTAAGTCGAAGAATTTCTAAAGTCCCGTCAAATTTCCTTCTTTATCTTTGTATTTCGATGCCTTGGTGTGAAAGGGTTGTAACTCAATATTTTGAAATTATTCAGGAGAGACAAAAAACTTATTTATTCTTTTACATTCTAATAAATTCTTCTTTAATTTTGCTTTTTGGCTTTAATTAATTTACTGATATATAATTGATTGGAAAGGTTATTTCATTTTGTCAGCATAAAGAGATAATTGATAAAGTTTCAGTTACAACCCTTTCGCACCAAAAAAATCAAAAATTTCAAAAAATTATTTGGTGCGAAAGGGTTGTAACTAAATTTTTGCTTTAAATTCTGATAAATGTAATGGGTCAAATGGACAGATCCAAGCTTAGTGGTGTTAAGTATGAACTAATTTAACATATTGCCTGGATATTTCAGTGAAAAACCTTCAAATTATATGTTTTTAAAATATAATTTCAGTCAAATGATTTTTTTTAAAGAAATTCACTTTATATATAATATTTTTTCTATGTGACACACAGTTCAGATTGTCAAACCCATCATAAGTACCAAATATGCATTAACATGTATGTTTTTGCAAGAATCAAAGGTAAATTTTTCGCAATTCAAAATGTAAACTTACATAATGACAAAACCATCTAAGACACATTTATTTTTGTTAATATAAGCCTTTAGAAAATGAGAATACTCTTATTTTATTTTCCATCTATTCTATACATAGGCTTTTCTTAATTTGAAAACTTAGATAATTCCTAGGATGTGTACAAATTCTATAAATTTAAGCATTATCCAGGTCCTGGATCTTCTTTACTATTAAGCCAAAAGTATGAGAAAGATGATAAATATTATAGATGTTCTAAGCTTCTAAGCTAATGCTATTCTTACAACTCTTTACAGTCCCAAATTTCATTGTTTATAATTATATTAATCAGTCCAGCCTGAATCAGTCAGTAATTAAATGAAAAAAAAAATAAGGCCTGCAAATAATATCAATTACAAAATGCAATCCCCTGTGACCCCAATAAAAGTCACAGGTGTGCACACAAACGCACATAAGCTGAGGAAGTAATTAATATCTTTATGAATCATTTTAAATAGCAGATAGAATATATCTGATAATTTACCTTTATCTAACAGAAAACAGAGGGTCAATAACATATTTTACTTGGTATTTTAACATGACCCGCATTTCCCTATTGAACATAGAAGAACCGAAAGTGTGCGTTACTATGCAATAAAATCACACTGTTTGACATTCTATATTAAGACATGTGACGTAGTCATTATACACGCAAAGTAACCACTAAAAATGTGAAGTGCTGAAAATGAGTATGAAAACAAATCAGGGGCAGTTTAGATAAATATAAGGTACGGCAGCATTAAAATTTTATTTGTTGATGTTGTGTTAGAATCAAAATAATATATATGCAAATCGCTTGGAATCACTTGATAAAATCACTGTTTGTTGAATGTGCATCATTATATCACTCGGCATCCGACTCCAAACAGTGATTTTATTGAGCGATAAAATCACAGTTAGTGATATATTATTTCTTAAATAATAGACCTATGTAACTTATATTAAGCTAGACCTACATGTAGCCTGTTTATCTGTGTAATTCAACCATACATCATACTGTTGGCTTGCAGTTTAATGGAAAGTCTTTAAGTCTTTTTCTTTTGTCCAATCAGCAGATATTTGTGATACAATATTTATACAATTTGTCTTTGACAAGACATGAAAATATTCCAATAGTAATACATGTAAGTGATAAAAGTAATTCATGTAAGTTTAAAACCAAATCAAGAATTGAGTAATAATTGTATAATTTCTTTATGTTATTTTAACATTTAGTAATTAAAAAAGCATCGAAACACAAGGCTGTAGGATTTGTATGAGAGTATAAATCAGATTGCCGATTGTTTTGATGTTCTTTCTCTTTTGTATCTTAGGCAAAAATGAAAACACATTCCCAGTCATCCAAGAAAAATGTACTAAATGTTAAAGCATCTGAATATGACTTTTCTATATTAATATAAGCCGGCGCTAGGGGGCGTGGACGGTAACTTTTACTTTCCAGTACCGTTCATGTACAGGCTCAATCAAACCGAGCCTGCAACATTTTCAATTTTGTTGTGTTGGACTTTCTTTAGGAATTCTGTTTTTCTCTATTTTCTACTGTCATCTCCTTCCCTGTCTCTTTCCCTGTCGTCACAATATGTAATCAAAGCACAGAAGACGCTGAATTTGTTTGGGTCTCAGAATGTCAGAAAGGTGAAGGTTGTGAAATTACATGTATAAACCAATTTGTTTATGTAAAGTGCCACCAATGCTTTCCAGCGTTTTAATTGTAGTAAATTGGCTATAAGAATAATTTAAACACTGATATTCAATCCAATGTTTATTTAACTTAAACAATTTAAAATAAATGGGTTGCCTTAACTGGGATTTGAACTCCAGACCTCTCGCTTCTTAAGCGAGCGCGCAAACCCCTCGGCCATGGTGAATTTACTTGTTAACAGCCTGAAGAAAACTATATTATTCTATATTAGGGTTTGTAAAGACGCTAACTGTTGTTTAACACAGATGTAAATAATCATGGAGCTTACTATAAGCATGTATATCTATAAAAAATAAAACAATATTAGAAATCTTCGACCATTCAGGAATTATTTTGCTTGAAAATTAATGCGCCTGTCATTTGACCATCTATACGCAGTGATCTCCCCTGAATTTTTCGGCGTTAGTTTACATATAAAGGGAAGTAACCGCTTCAAACAAGATTGCATTTGAGAAAAATGCTATGCCACCGCATGGTTCAAATTTCATAGCTGTACACCAAAGGACAAGAAAGTAGGTCACATCATCAAAATCTAGGTCACCTGATATCAAAGTTCAATTTTACAACTAAAATTGTGCACATGGTCAAAATGTCATTGCTGTACATCAAAGGACAAGAAAGTAGGTCACTGTCCCCTTGGGCAAGGTATAATTTTGACCCAAGGGTTTAATTCAAAACAATTTTGATACAGGTCCACCAAACAACATTTAAAGTCAAATACACTTCAGCCTCATTAAAACGCTCATGTTGGGGTCCAATGTCTCACCACAGCGTTCTAACGAGGCTCTCATTAGAACGCTCATTGCGAAATTACCGCAATACCCCACCCACCACATATTATAAATAACGCTGATTTTTTTTACTTACTGTTCAATGAATATCGACATTATCTTTTTCTAAAGCCATTCAATGATGTAAACATGTATTATATTCACAATAATACTGATTATATTTAAAAGAAACGAAAAACTTTCGAAAGAAAATTATAAATCATGAATGTAGTGTAAACACTAACAGTTAGCCATTACTGTAATGACGTTTGATTAACTAGGGGACACAACTAAAGCTGGACTGTAAAAAACACTGTAATTTACAGTCCAGCTTTAGTTGTGTCCCTTAGTAAATCAGACGCCAATTACTTCCTGTCATGGCCGCTCTATTTACAGTGCAGGATTTTAAATTGATTTTGGGCTTGTGGGTTATTTAATTCAGCGAGGTTTACATGTCAAAGATATGTGTGTGAATTTTAGTTTATTTATACTCACCACCTGTTGCCAATGTCAAGTTATGATTTGAGATTTTGGAAACAATTTGACGACAGGTAAAACAACAAAAGAGCAAATAAACGCTTACCTAGGCATGTTTTTCACACCTTTGGCGCTCATAAATGACCTAATAACAATTGTTTATTGTACTTGACAGTCAAATTGAGCAAGCGTTATAGCGCGCTATAAATCTAAGTCTACAGTACTTAAAAAAAAATTTTTTTTTTTTTTGGAAGTTTTTTTTTTTTTTTTTTTTTTTTTTTTTGGGGAGCCAAGGTCTATGAGCGCTCTACTGAGATTAGCGTTATAGTGAAGAGCGAGTTATCGAGGCTACAGTGTATCTAAGCTATAGCTTTCTCCCATTCAGAAAACATTTGTTTTATTTTCTGTTTTTACTATGTGTACATAATGAGAATCACTGCCCCCGGGCAGGGCCAATTTTGACACCAGGGGAAAATTTTGAACAACTTTGGTAGACGACCTATAAATGATATTATATATCAAACATCAAAGCTCTATGCCTTGTACCTTCAGACAAAAATATTTTTTATTTTTTCACTATATGTACATAATGAAAATCAATGACCCCCGGGGCGGAACCAATTTTGACCCCAGGGCTATAATTTGAACAATCTTGCCAGAGGTTCACTACACAATGTTTCATGCAAAATATCTTAACTCTAGCCTTTGTAAATTTAGAGAAGATGATTTTTTAAGTTTGTACTATATACATATAAGGAAAACTATGGCCACCAGGGGGCGGGGCTAATTTTGACACAAGAGGCAAAACTTTGAATAACTTTTGTAGAGTACCTTCAGATGATATAATTTAACAAATATTAAAGCTCTAAGCCTTGCACCTTCAGACAATAAGATTTATTTATTTTTTTACTATATGTATATATTGAAATCAATGACCCCAAGGGCGGGGGCAATTTTGACCCCAGGGCTATAATTTGAACAATCTTGCTAGAGGTTTACTACACAATGTTTCATGCAAAATATCTAACCTCTAGCATTTGTCAATTGCTAGAAGAATTTTTTTTGAAGTTTTTACTATAATTTTTTACTATATACATATAAGGAAAACCAATGACCCCCGGGGCGGGGCCAATTTTGACCCCAGGGCTATAATTTGAACAATCTGGGTAGAGGTCAACCAGACAATGCCTTATGCAAAATATATAAGCTCTAGGCCTTTTGGGTCTTTACAAGAAGGTGTTTTAAGTTTTTACTATATGTACATATAGTGAAAATCAATGACCCCGGGGCGGGGCCGATTTTGACCCAAGGGCTATAATTTGAACAATCATGGTAAGGGTCTACCAGAAGATGCCTTATGCAAAATATCTAAGCTCTAGGCCTTTTGGGTTTTTACAAGAAGGTATTTTAAGTTTTTACTATATGTACATAGTGAAAATCAATGACCCTCGGGGCGGGGCCAATTTTGACCCCAGGGCTATAATTTGAACAATCTTGTTAGAGGTCTACCAGACAATGCCTTATGCAAAATATCTAAGCTCTAGGCCTTTTGGGTCTTTACAAGAAGATTTTTTAAATTTATTCTTATAATTCCTTTTGGTTGCCATGGCAACCAGATTTCTGCATGGAATGAAATTCTTTGAACAACTTTGGAAGCCCTTCACCCAAGAATCAATCCTGCCAAGTTTGGTTGAAATTGGACTAGTGGTTTTTCACAAGAAGATTTTTTAAGTTCACAATATAATCTATAGAACACACACACACGCATACACACACACAGGTGAATCGCTATATGCCACCGCATCGCAGATGCTGCGGTGGCATAAAAAGCGGACTACTTTCGGCATGCAATTAACAGCATTAGAGTCTGAAATTTCGCTACCATTATTTGTTTGGTCTGACGACCCAAACAAATAAAAACTAGAAACAAGAGGGCCATGATGGCCCTGAGGTCGCTCACCTGTATATAGGCCGCCCCCCCCCAACCCCCCCCCCCCAAACATTGCAGGGCCAATTTAACCAAAGGGCTTTTATTTGCACAAACTTGGTAGACACCCATAAGAAAATGTTTCATGCTAAACATCTAAGCTCTAGCTCATTTAAAAGAAGATTTTTTTTAAAGTTTTTACTATACACATATAGTTAAAAACAATGACACGCCTGGGGCCGGGCCAGTTATGACCCCAGGGTTTTTATTTGAACAAACTTTGTAGACACTTACTAGAATATGTTTCATGCTTAATATCTAAACTCTAGCTATTTGGGTTTTTTCAAAGAAGATTTTAAGTTTTTGCTATACACATATAAGGAAAATCAATGACCCCGGGGCAGGGCCAATTTTGACCCCAGGTCTTTTATTTGAACAAACTTTGTAGACACTCACTAAAAGATGTTTCATGCTTAATATCTTAACTCTAGCTATTTGGGTTTTTTCAAAAAAGATTTTTTAAGTTTTTGCTATACACATATAAGGAAAATCAATGACCCCCGGGGCGGGGCCAATTTTGACCCCAGGGCTTTTATTTGAACAAACTTGGTAGACACCTATTAGAACATGTTTGATGCTAAATATCTTAACCATAGCTCTTTGAGTTCTTTAAAAGAAGATTTTTAAGTTTTTACTATATGCATATACAGGGAAAAATCAATGACCCCCCCCGGGCGGGGCCAATTTTGACCCCAGGGCTTTTATTTGAACAAACTTGGTAGACACATATTAGAACATGTTTCATGCTAAATATCTTAGCTCTAACTCTTTTGGTTCTTTAAAAGAAGATTTTTTAAGTTTTTACTATATGCATATAGGGAAAATCAATGACCCCCTGGGGCGGGGCCAATTTTGACCCAAGGGCTTTTCTTTGAACAAACTTGATAGACACCTATTAGAACATGTTTGATGCTCAATATCTTAGCCATAGCTCTTTGAGTTCTTTAAAAGAAGATTTTTTAAGTTTTCACTATATGCATATAGGGAAAATCAATGACCCCCCGGGGCGGGGCCAATTTTGACCCCAGGGCTTTTATTTGAACAAACTTGGTAGACACTCACTAGAAGATGTTTCATGCCAAATATCTAAGCTCTAGCTCTTATGGTTTTTTAAAAGAAGATATTTAAAGTTTTTTCTTTCGGTTGCCATGGCAACCAGAGTTCTGCATGGAATTAAATTCTTTGAACAATTTTTAAAGGTGACCACCAAAGGAACATTCCTGTGAAGTTTGGATGAAATTGGCCTTGTGGTTTATGAGGAGATGTCATTTAAAGTAAAAGTTTACGGACGACGGACGGACGACGGACGCCGGACGAAAAGCGATCACAAAAGCTCACCCTGTCACTTTGTGACAGGTGAGCTAAAAATGAACCAGTTAACAAGCAAGCTCCAGACAGACAGTGAGTTAAAGCACTGTGCATGTATTGGTATGTAATTTAACTCTGACATGTTTTCAAAAGTCTCCAAACTATGATACAATCATAAAATATTGTATGACAATTGTTTATAATAAATTTATTTTGAGTTACAGTAATTTCATTTTCGTAAACCAAAATAGGTCCATTACTTTTTCATGCTATTTTGGAAACAATGCAACATTATACCAATAACAATTTTTATGTTGAGAAAAAATCACTATAATAGTACTGTTAGTCAATTATAGTTCTATGATATTGTTTCTTTTACAAGCATTGGAATTGATTTATGTTTGAAATATGTGTAAGTTATTCAAATTCTTGTATTATGTCTGAATGAAAGCTTAACAATTATGTAAATAACAAGGAATCAGAAGCTGGTCTGCTTAATAAACTTGTCAATTAGTTTGAAAGAAATAATCCACAAAATATTTCACAGAATATGATATAAGGTATTGAGATACAACTGTTTTGCACTAGGATTTATTCAAAATATTATCAAAATGTTGGTGCGAAACGGTTGTAACTTAAGTTACAACTGTTTTGCACCAACAAAATATGTCTGTTTGAGTTACAACCTTTGGACAAATATACTTTTTTGGTAGTTTAATTTTAGCTTTCAAGTTCAATATTTTTACAACATGTGTGTATATTGCTCCTACATTGAAAAACACCATAAAACCATTTTTGGTGAAATTATGAGTTACAACCCTTTCGCACCAAGGCATCGATTTTAACTTCGCTTAGGTCGAATTTTGACTTACCAAGACTCCTGTTTAGTCGAAAAGAAAATTTGGTTCCGTCAATTAAAGTCCAACATATTTTCATCTCAATTAGTCGATGTGTGAAAACAGCCGACTGATCAAAGGTCGGCGACATCAAGGTGAGATGTTGTCATTCGTGATTCACACGTTTCATAGTAATTTTAATTGCCGGTCATCATGTATAATTAGCACGTCGTAAAAGTGGCTTTAATCGGTTTCAGGACTTAATTGGTTTTTTACAGTTAGATAAGTAAATTAAGATTTAATTAATTTAATTGTGCCAGCCTAGGTATTGATGTGTGTTTTCAACTTAAATGCATTTCTATAATTAATGTTCCGTCATATTGCATACATTAATATGTACTTCAGATTCACGATAGTTGCTACTTTCGTTTTCGTCCGATGATCAATTTACTTCAAATATTAGATAAATTGTTGTTGAAATAAATGTGTTATTGTGCTTTTATTGTAATGAATTATCATGAGTGCGTATTAAAAACATGTGCATTACTGATGAATACTGACAAACTTGCATTTATGTCATTGCTATGAATGCTTGTGTTTATGTTTCACTATTAATATACATGTATTAAATTTTGAATAATATATTTTTGTTCATTTATAATTTGTAGTTGTAAGTGATTTACTGTCATTTCAACGGTTAAATATTGCAGCATTGCCGCTATCAACAATAACAAACCTACTTCTTTGCACATTCAATCAGGCACATGTATATACATGTACAAATGTCAACGTAATGGCAGCAGATCCACATTACTCGAATTCCGTTTCTCTCAAAGTAAAATGCCCAGTCCCTTGGATTTCGAGTAATCGAGAGTCAACTGTACTTTTTCTTTGAGCAGGAAAGGCAAACTTATCAGGGTTTTTTTTTTTTTTAAATTCCTTTTATGCAATATCGGTAAGTTAAAAATACCACATATCTACCAAGTACAAGAATAAGTGGAGGAAGACCTCAGGAGCCCCTCAGTGCAATATTTAAGGCTCGAGCAGGCACCTGAGTAGAACCACTGACCATCTATAAGCTAGCAGAATAGCTTTCTCACATAAAAGATCAACAGACCCTAGCAGGACTTGAACTCACAGTGGTGAGGGCCAAACAGTTTGAAGTCTGCAATCTTTACCACTCGACCATGGAAGACCTTATCACTCTTGGATTCTAAGTCTGAGAATCTTCACACAAAACACTGAACAAACCTTGTATGTTCATTTCTTACACTTTATCTAATTTTCACATGATACAATTAGCAAGTAAGGCATGTATTATTTACCTGTATAAGAACATGTACTATACTAAGACTGCCCACAGCTGCGGCTGCATGTAGAGCACTCTGACCCTCAAGATCTTCAAATAATTCATTTGGATCAAAGCCATCCTCTGTAAAAACATTATATTGTTTTGTAAAACAAAGAATTATCTTAGTAATAACGTCAGGAATAAAGAAAAGCACCTCATTTAATCTCAACAAAGCATTCTCATAACTAGTCAGAATTCTGTTAAAAATTTCTGGAATCTGCCAAAGATTGCAACAAAAGCACAAATTTTCAAAGATGGCAGACCTATAAATCTGTCTTATTTTTCAGGTTATTTACTTTCTGTCCAAGCAAAATTATAAATTCAACTTAATGTTATAGATTTTGTACTTTCAGTAAAGAACATAATAGAGCAGACTAACTTAAAAATACATGTAAATCTTATCTCAAGTTCTGCTAAATCTCTGGATAATAATTCATCAAAATACATTTACATACAGGAGATTAAATTATCATCAAAAGGAATGGCAATGATTTTTTTGTGTTAAAAGCAATTTGCTTTTCTTTTAGCAACCTCTTTAATTATCATAAAGAACAAAAACAAAAAGATAATTTACCAACTAAACTTACTGTTCAATAGCACATACAGGAGTGATGTACTATTCTTAAAAATAGCACAAACTTGGTTACATGAAAAATCTATCAATGGATTTGAACTTGAAATTATTGTACAACAAAAAATACCTAGCATATAAACAACCCTTTCCAAGTCATTGTCGTAGGCCGGTGTATATAAACATTTGGGTAAATGCCGGTACTTCTTCGGCCTGCAAAAAAAAATCGGTCCAGAATTGTTTTAATTGTGTCCACAATTTACAGCAAAGACAAAGTATTGAGCTAAATATCATATGATTTTCAAATACTCTACAACTGTTTTCTTTTTCTAACATGATATTCAGTAACAGACTGTATTTTCTTGTAACATCAATCAGGTTTGATTGTAATAATATCTTAACACAGATAGTAACTGCCAGTGTCTCTCATTTTTCACAATGATTAATACTGTATATACAAATGGGGAGAGTTCATAACACAATAATGAATCTGTTTATTTCTTGTATTAATTGCAAGTACTCATTTTGCTGTTTTGATTTGATTTGTATAGGTCAGGTCATATAGCATGGTTACAACATTACTGGTGGAGGAAGATCGGACTTAGCTAAGTAGAATCATCAACTTTATTTTGATTGATTAGCTTACAAGAAATAACTTGTATCACAACAACAACAGTGTCAGAAAAAGTATTTAACCCTGGCAACACTAAACACCTTTAATGAGCCGCGACACAACAAAACCAACGTACTGCGTTTGCGACCAGCATGGATCCAGAGCAGCCTGCGCATCCGCGCAGTCTGATCAGGATCCATGCTGTTCGCTTACAAACCCTGTAAAAAGTAGAGAAACTGATGGCGAACAGCATGGATCCTAATCAGACTGCGTGCATGCGCAGGTGGGTCTGGATCCATGCTGGTCGCAAACCCATTATGTTGGTTTTGGCGTGACGCGGCTCAAATGGTCTTATTCTTCTGGAGGGAAAATTTTAATATGTGCTGACTTACTAGTAAACAGTGCAGACCATAATCAGATGCCATGGATATACTGCTGGCCGACCTGTTTGAATGTGAAGATTCAGACACCACAGAGAGGCTATGGGTTAATTCATACTCCTTTAAGTCAATTATTTATAAATCTAAAGTTTCTCTTCTCAAAGCAATTTAAAAACATCATATCATTTAACAACTAATATTTTCCATTATGAAATAAACCTTGGTGATGCCAAGAAAGATAATATTTAAGGTAACTCTTACCTTTCATGTTCAAGACTAGATAACACTCTTTCTAGGGAATACCTATCAGGTCCAAGTGGAACATCAGCTGCAGAATAAGTTAACATATTGTTATAGCAAAAGTGTAAACATTAAACAATAATTTCATAGGGAAAATTAAAATTTTTAAAAACAATAATAAAGAAGAAATTTTAATGCCACAGGTTCTGCATGCTTGTTCGTTTTTCATGTTTTGTTTTTGTTGTTTTTGGGTTTTTTTGTTGTTTTTTGCTGATTTTAACACATTTATTGATCATATCTCAGAGATAAATCTACCTAACAAACTTAATGAATAACTGTATGTATTAACCACTGGCAAAATATAAATTAACACATTACCTGTGGATATAACTTTCTTTGTTTTCTCTAAGGTATGTGTGACTACTGGATCCTCTGTTGGTTCCTCCCCTCCACTTGTACTTTTATGATCTACCACACCTATACGAGCCTTTACTCTGAAATCAATCATAATTATGTGCAACATTACTTCAATCTTTCAGTTTCAGCTATAATCACAATGACTTCTTATACAACAGTTATACCAATTTCTTCTAGAATCACATGCAGTTTGGCCCAACTATACTGTCAGTTGATTATACTGTTAAGAAATAGCTCTTTGAGCTCAAGAAACATTAACAACACCATGTCACCAGTTTATTACCAGGTTTTTCAGCATTTCAGTTCAGTCTCAACTAATTCTATACTGACTGATGACTGCTGAAATGCTTAATTTGGACATAGAAATCCCTTAAACTAATACAATAATATTCCAAAATCGATTTTGTGTTTGTTTGGTTTAACGGCGCACCAACACAGTATAGGTCATATGGCGCTGAAACAGGTAAGATGATTTTGACTAATCTTCAAATTATAAATCATAAACTGTCCAGAATGAAAAACTGGGAAAGTCCTGTCAGATATTTAGCATGGTAAGCCTTCAAACAAACTTTTCATCATTACCTCTTAACTTCCAAGTCAAACAAAATTGAGCCGCATCACAACAAAACCAACATAGTGCATTTGCGACCAGCATGGATCCAGACCAGCCTGCACATCCGTGCAGTCTGATCAGGATCCATGCTGTTCGCTATCAGTTTCTCTACTTGTAATAGAGTTGGTAAGCGAATAGCATGGATCCTGAACAGACTGCGCGGATGCGCAGGCGGATCTGGATCCATGCTGGTTGTAAATGCACTATGTTGGTTTTATCGTGAAGTGGCTCAAATATTACACATAAATAAACATAAAACAACACGTACTGTGCTCTGTTTGATGGTTTCATTTCCTTGGCAACTGACTGTTTGCTTTCCTGCATACTGAGATATACCTCATACTGGTTGGATGTTTCCCCACAGTGAGGACAGTAATTCTTACCATCCTTGGTCACCTGACATTGTTCATGGAAATTATGTACAAAACTGCTCCCTTCCTTCTTACATTGTAAAAACTTGCCCTGTAATTCAAGAAGAGAAAACAGCTTCAATATACAGGGAATCACAATTTGATACCTTAGTGCAGTGGTGGGTTAAATCCTTCTAAATTTAAAAGGAGTTAACCATTTATTGCACTAAGGTGACAAATTACTCGCATACTGAGTAACTTCTAACATCTTACTTTTAGGAATTTATTTATGGTTTTAATGCCAATTCAAACACCCTTTTGGTTATATCTTAGTGGACAGTCAACCAGACTGACTTTTCTGGATAACTTACCTGTAAGGATAAATTTTTCCTGAAAGAGACCAATTAAAGTATTAAAGACATTAAACAGGTCATATAGAATTTTTTTTTACTGTTGGAGGGAAACGGAAACTGCCTATCGGCACAATATTTCGGGCATTTTAGTGGAACCATCTACCTATGTTAAGCAAGCAAAACAGCTTCCTAACAAATAAATTTCAACCTAAGCCTATTGCTATTTCAACCTAAGCCTATTGCTATGGGCCATGAGTTTCTATATCTGCAAACTTATTATCATTTATTCAGGTGAAAATTAAATCTAAATTTACAGAATTTAACTAAAAGTCTGACAAACCTGAGTACAAAAGTGGCCGCAACCCGGACAGCACTGATGTGCCCTCAACCTCTTCCGATGACTATCACATAATGCGAGGAATGGTATCTTCACCGCAGGACGTACCAACTGCGGGTTTGTGACTTTATTACAACAACCAAGCACCTTACCGTCTACAGAGTCTAGCGCTTGACAGAACGTTACTATAGTGGTCATCTTTTGAAAACTGGCCCCACTTATTTTACACGTACACAGCGGAATAACGTCTTTCTCTGGCGTGACAGAGCCAAGTACAGCCTAATAACAGCAACAAAACAAATTGTCAAAAAACAAAAAAATAACAAAAGATTAACCCCTATAAGGTTTTACTGCAATATTTGAAAATAGTGTCACAATATATAAGTTAATAGCTTCCAAACTCCTGCATTCACTATCATACTGCGGAAAAATTTATAGTGCTAAAAATCAATTTTTCAAGATATTATGAAAAACTTTCTCTGAGAAATTGTGCAAAATTGGTGGAGAATGTCCATTATACTTTGAAACCCAATATTCATGATGCAGTTACCTTTCAGTATGTTATAAGTAACTTAACTAATTTTTCCCGTAAAGTCACCAAATATATTGTATGATAAAATAGTTTAATTATATTTATTAACATAATAACGCATTCCAACTGAGCAAAGAATAGATAACTTTGCAGTTGTTTTAGCCTAGCTTTCTATTAGGTTAAAAGTGCCACAAATTCTGTTTTGCCCGAACAATGTAAATAATAGGGATATTCTGGATTTTGGCAAATGTGTTTTTTTCCCCATCTAAATCAGGGGTACAAACATACTTTTATAGTTAAAACTTGATACAGTAAACATATCAAAGTGTTGATCGCTATTGTAAATGGTAATGCACCAGGGGTACAAACATACTTTAAAGTTAAAACTTGATACAGTAAACATATCAAAGTGTTGATCGCTATTGTAAATGGTAATGCACCAGGGGTACAAACATACTTTAAAGTTAAAACTTGATACAGTAAACATATCAAAGTGTTGATCGCTATTGTAAATGGTAATGCACCATGAAGCTGTAACTGTAAACGTTTATTTGTACCCCAATTTAGATGGGGAAAACCCCACATTAGCCAAGCATTAGATGACATATACATGTATTACTCAAAAGTAACAATTTGTCTTTGTTGGAAACTAATTTTTCCCGAAGTAGTAAAATTGGGAGTATTCCCTAAGAAATGGAAGGAAAAATTATTTACATTCAGTTATATAGTGGAAAAAAAAACAAACAAATTTCACTTACCTCCATTTCCTCACCAGTGTCTTGTGACCCTGTTTCTGACCTTTGCTCTTCCGGTGTCCTCGGAGGAGTAACAGGGTACATTCCATTGGGTACATCTTTCGGCAGTTTAAGATCTATATATTGTCCATTTGGTAACTGCATTCTAGGTTGGATAAGAGTGTTTTTAAGTACAGAATGCTGCTGTTGGACGGCTGATTGATAACCTGTTGGAACTGGTTTTCCCATCACTGAAGATGTCACAGAATTAAAAACACCAGGATGTGAAAATACCGGCTGGCAACCAGTCCCATTTGCCACAACTGTTGAATATGGCATAGGTGTAAATAGCAAGGGTACACCTTTGGGTTGAAGGAGATTTGTGGATTTTGGCGGCGATGCGGCTGTAACCATTGGATGTCCCCCTTGTGATTGAGCAATAGCTACAAATTGAGCAGTTTGTGAAGAGGCAATGCTTTGATTATTGAATATCTGAAATAGGGTACCATTTGGTATTATTGTCTGTGAACCACTAGCTGCACCTGGTGACAGGAATAACTGACTTCCTGTTCCTGATGCAGGAATTATGGGATGTCCTGCCGTGGGCATGCTCAGTGGTGGACTACCTGTTGGCATCAATGCAATCACATGCTGCTGAGTTGGGGATAATTCCATTCTACGTTTTTTTTCTTCCGGACTGGCCAGACTATAATCAGTTTCAGTATTCGTTTTTGATTTAACTTGGTCTGAAAAAGAAATTATTATAAAAACAAATTAACTGTCACCCATGGGAGAAAAATTTCTTACAGCCACCATGTATTATAAAATAAATGCCCAGATAGCCATAAAAATTAATACAATGTAGGTAAGTAAATTGTCAGTTCACTCAAGAAGTGCAGTGGAGTGTGAACATTATCGGCATAAATAATTTGGCATAAATAATCTATTTTACACTTTAAATAAAAGATTTTAATAACTTTTTATTGACATTTTTTGCCAAAATTTGGTGGCATTTCCTTCTAAAATCATCCTAGAATGCAAAGTGAAAGTAACCATTTTCAAGTACAGCATGAACCCAGAAAAATGTTTGATTACACATTAACTTGCTGTATTTCTCAATGTTTGGCAAGCCCCATGTGGCCAATTATAATTTCAAATGACCCGTAAATTATCATGTAGAGGGTCTTAATGACCTCTAAAATTCTAGATTAAAAGAAGAATCAATTTCATACCAATCCCAGACTAAAATGCGTTTGGTCAGTACAAGATTTGGGTAGATTTACTATCCATTTCCTCAGAATTTACTCATCATCATAAATGTAATCCTTATATTATATGAAATTATGCAGACATGTGGGTTAAGCCTATCAAAACTGCAGACATGTGGGTTAAGCCTATCAAAACACATGGAAATCCTTTCAAATTGCATCAACCACAATTCTTAAGAAATTTTTTCTCCAAATTTTGGTAAATATTGTAATAAATGACAAATTTTAGAGTATTTTATCAATGTTTTCTGAAATACTTACCAACAGCTTTTCTCTTTCTGGGCTCACCATTTGATCCATCTGATGTTCCTGCAAAATAACACAGTGATATATTAGCATCATATCCCCATACATACCACAAGCTGGTGTCATATTTGCTTGTTTTGATTTTACGCAGATTTTACCACATTTTTTAACACATCTTCGCAGTCGGTTCAACTGAGTACCAGTAATTACCAATCTCTCTGCAACTGACTGACTCCTCCAACATGAGGTAAAAAAAAAATGACCATTAGACTGAATGTCTGAGATAAATCATCAGAGAAATTACTTCTTGCCCACAGATCGAACCAGAGACCTCTAGATCAAAATCTGAGTGACTTTTCTCCCTATTGAGCATAGCATGCAGACAAAATGAACATTACATAAATTGTAAACAAGGACAGGTTTTTTTCTATTCTCAATTTAAAAAATTGAAGTGTTTCAACACTTGACAATACTGAAAACGACAAGTGAATTACAATGGTTACACTTAAAAACTAACCCTTACAGGCATTTTTAATTGTTTAATTGAAAAGACACAAGTCTCAACACTTCATACTGATCTACTTTGTTCGTAAAAATAGTTGAGATGTCTTATTTTTCTTTTTACTTTTTTCTAATATCCATCTATTTAAGATGCTCACCAACTGTTCATTGCCAGTCAGGCCAGTGGACCATTCTTCTTACTGTTAGCTGGTCAATAATATATTGGTATTTTTATATATGTATTATGTATCAGATTTAACTTTTTTTGCTATCATTATATATACAACTTACTTTCTGCACCAACAGTCCTGTCGGCCACATCTTGAATCTGCAAAATACAAGCATTTATATTATTTAATTAGTATACCTCCACCTTTTTGGTAACTGCAAAAAAAGCCTTGCAGCTGAGTGTTCACCTCTGGTCAAGGAAAATGCAAAATTTGGTTTGCCACACTTTTTAACAATCTCCCTACAGGTCAACTTCATGTGAGTAACCTATGGACCGGTCAAATGTGTAGCTATAATAAAACTATCATGACTAAACTGAAAAATTTAAAGTTGAGCATATATGTGTCAATCTTACACCTGAGTATACATGATGTCCTATAACTGTAAAATTAACAAGGAAGATATTAAATCTGATAATACTACTTAACACATTTTTAAAACAGGACTTTATATAATAAAAGCTGAAGTAACAAGTACAAACCTTGGACTTCAAGAATGAATCCAGAGTTCTATGCGTAGCTGGATCTATACCATGACGTACAGTTTTCCTCGCCTTTTTCATGCTGCCTCCTGAACTGGCCGAACTAAATGACTTCCTAGAATTCATTGTTAACATGTCTAGAGCATTCCTCTGAGGAGGCGATTTTGTACTTTCCACTGAATGATCACTAGTTTTATTCGGCACTTTGTTTGGGGTTGAACTCACTGGCATACTTGCACCCCTTTGACTAACTTTCTGCTCAGAACTATGTGTTTCAATTTCACTGTCTTTGGCGAGTTGTCTTTCTTCTGACTTTTTACTTTTAGTGCGTTTCCATACTTTTTCACCTGGCAATTTGTATGCCTTTTTCTTTTTCCTTCGAATAAGTTTTTGTTTCTTAAAAAATGGATTTTCTGTTTTACTTGGAGATTTAATCGGGGACTTTAATGGCGATCGAACAGGGGACCCCTTTTTGGGGGGTGATGATGAGATTTTATCTTTTTCAGGAGTTGGGATTTTGATAGGCTCAAAAGCTTTCCTCTTTGAGGGTTTTGGCATATCTAGAACACCTTTCTTCTCTAGTTCTTTGACATTAAAAGTGAGAGATGTAATTGATGAAGGAATACTGGGTTTATTTTAAAGCGTTGTTAGCAGAATTTACACAGGATTTTCTGGGCGGGCGGCTTTCGCATGTTTTTGAGTGGTGGTGTTTTTTGACTGTCTGTTTCAGCTTTGTTGTGATTTTCGACAATAATTGATCAAGTTTTTTGACCTTTGACATTGTTGTCGGACTGAATTATAGAATTTGTATCAGTTTTAGTTACAGAAACTTTTTCTGGACTTGTTGTATTTTTTTTTTTTTGACTATCACTTCCTTCATTTCACAACGTTTCTTTTTAACTGGTTTAATCTCCAATTCTAAGTTCACTTTTTTCTACTTCCATTGGTTTCATTTCTCTTTCTTCGGCGGACAGATGTATGTTCAGATTGACTATTTTCACTTAATTGTTTATCATCAACATCCATAGACTCTTCAACACCAACATTATCGCTTGTAACACTAACAGAATTACTTAACATAGAATTATCATCGCTGTTTATTTCTTTTACTAAAGATGGGGGACCTGAGCTATTGCTATGTTCTGTTACTTCACCTGTAATTTTTAGTAAGTTCTTCTGTTGCTTTCTTTAACATCTCCGTGATATCTAGTTTTGGTGTCACTTTCAATGTCAGGAGAGTCTTTTGCTGTTTCCACATTATCTACAGTGCTTTCAGGTGCATTTTCATTATTTACATTAGTTTCAATTTTACTTTTATCATCATGTTCATCTTTATTATAATTTACTTCACTTACAGGAATACTTATATCATTCTCTGGAGTATCTAGATTCCACTGACAATGTATTACTAACCTCTTCCTTTATTTCATTGTTAACTACTTAAATTTGAGAGTTCAACAGGATTAGAATCTATCTTACCGTCTTCATTATTCACAGTAGAATCCTCATTAGCACTTTGCTC